TCTATCTATCTATCTATCTATCTATCTATCTATCTATCTATCTATCTATCTATCTGTCTACCTATCTATCTATATATTATCTATCTATCTATCAATATATACAGCAAACAGACAGACAGAGTAGCCCCGAGTCCCAACAGGGGCTTACCCTACATACTCTTGATTGGCCAAAATAACAGACATTATGGAAACGGCGCATCTCTAAAAGGATTTAGACTATGTTAACAAAGACGCAATAAACTTTCAACGGAATTTGTAATTGGTTATTTTGTTTCAGTAGAGGTTTTACGTCGCTCTCAACTGCATAAGGTCATATGAGGGCCACTTTAATTGGTTGAGAATTTCGGTGTCAAAAAATACATGTACAACTTTCTATCTCCTAGTGAAAAAGTGTGTCGACACCGGATGACCACTTTTCGAATATAAACACAAGAGCATATCTCTGATTCTCCACCGAGTCCTCACAAGACAAGATGAACGCCGCTGTAGTCCTGGTCTTCTTCTCCGTCATGGCTGCGACACAAGCAAGCCGTAAGTAGTTGTGGGAAAACTAGAACTTTAACGTGTAGTAAGTTCCGCTTGTGTTGAGCTGTCAATATCTTGTAAAAGCTATTAAGAACAAGGTGGCAGAAAGCATGCTGATTTTAGCAAGAGGAAATGAACCAAGTCTGCTTCTATTGTACTAGCTTCTACAGTGCCCCTAAGACACTGTTAGCACTTGTCTTATTACTTGGAACTGAGATAATGCTATATACCTTGGAAGACTGGCTTCCAAATGGCACAAACGTCCTCGCTGTTACGTGTCTACGATCGCCATGGACAATAGAACCTACCAGCAACTTGGCCGGATGAAGGTTTAAAAGGACCGAATACTCGGAGTAAGAGAGGTGGCAGAAATGTAAGGTACTCACTATTTGCTCCTTCACACAAAAGCTCTCCCAGTTGAAAAGATAGATGATGCTATGTTTTAATTTAAAAGGAATTTTTTTTTTATTGCTTGCTTGCTCAATTTCTCCCAGCGGACCAGGCTGTGTGCGATGCAATCAGGGTGGAAAGTTGGAACTACAAGTACGCCGAGAAGATAGTACTAGATGCTTCGTATGTCCTCAGCTCGATCCGAAGACGCTTTACACGAATTTCTCTTTTGGGTCGGTCCTTTCAGAGATAGACGTTAAACTCGTGAGGTCCCGCCTTTTGAATAACCCGAGTGTTGAAAGGGGCATTGATCCTTTACTGTTTTAACCATTCAGAATTAAATGTGAATTTTAGATTACTTTTCTCATTTTTTTTTTTTTTTTACTCCTTAGGGAGACCGACCGAGTGCCAAGTACTCAGGGTGGAAAGTTGGAAGTACAAGTCCGCCGAGAAGAATGTGGAGGGGGCCGCATTGTTCATTGACATGACCGTTGAAGATCGGCAGTCCGAGGCCAGTTGCGATCTGGATAAATCCTTCGGCTTCTACAATCAGAACTCCACAGTGTGGGTGGATCATGGTTGCCGTGCTGACTTCAATATCTGTTATGTCAAAGGTAGGTGTGACGACAGATGTGACGATGGTTAAACAAACGCCTTTTGGAAATGTTGAGGCACCTGCAAGAACTGGGAAGTTTTTTGTACATTTAGATGTTACCAACTGGGTATTCTGCATTTTTTGAAAGTATGTACTAGAACAGGGGAAATCTAAAATTTGAAAACGTACAAACATCGAAATCTCTTCACAAGAGCTTGCAATAGTTTTGGATTACTAGAACCGTATTGTCTTTGCTCGTACTTCTATCTCGCACGTTGTGTTTATGTTTACAAATAGAATACTCACTTTAAAACTTTATAATGGAACAAGCGAATTAATTCAAAAGCGATAAAGTGTCAACTCTTTTCGGGGGAAATGGTAGTGGTGGGGGGGTATAGACACGATATTGCTCAGAAATGAACCGTTAATTATCTGGTGCCTGCGATTTCACAAACGAATATGATATTTGTAGGGTATATATTTGTATGAAATACTTTTTGTCTATGCATTCTTTCCTCTTTACTTCAACTGGATCACGTGCTCCCCAAGCGACATTTTTTTTTTCAAAATAAATATTTTCATTTCAAGTGGGTAGTTAGCAGGTGCTCTGGTGTAGTTTGCTTCTTCTTTCCTTATTGTCCTGATCTCTTTTGTTTTGTTACTCTCTTGTTACTCTTGTTACTCTCTTGGAACCCCTAGTCTTCGACACTTTCATTGCATTTGTGTTGCAAGTTCCGTAACTCTTAACCTAAACTGTCGTTCCTATCCACAACTAAATGACCACTCCCATTTTTTTCTATGGTCTCCAGGCACCACCAGCACCACAAGGGTAAACCTGAGCAGCTGGAAGTACAAGTACGCCACCAAGATTCTCCCCTCCGCCACCTACATCTACTCCATGCAAGTGGCCAAGCAACAGTCCGTGGCCCCCTGCACTCTCGGAACCACTTATGGTTTTGTGGCCAATACCATGTGGGTCAGCGATGGCTGCAGAGCAAACTTCAGCATCAGACATTATTCCCATTAAGTTTTCTTAAAGCTATCGAATGTTCCACTGAAACGATTCTTAAAGCTTTCATTTTTCAATGACAATTGTTTTGTATTAAAAAGTCAATTGGAAAAAAATCCGAGTATGGACTCTGTATTTATTTACTTTACGTTGACCGATGCTTTCCAAACGGTCAAGTGGTATAATAGTTTACTTTTTCAAACCCTTTTGATTTGTTGGCTGGAGTTATGTGGTTTGCTCCTTCTTTCCTATCAAACATAAGCCTTGTATTCCCTACACATACGTACATACATACATACGTACATACATTCATACGTACATACTTTCATATATACATACTTTCATACAAACATACTTTCATACATACATACATACATATATTATACATCGTGTTTGAATAGCTTTGCATTCAGAAGTTGGCATGGGTTGTGGAGGGGGGGTTCTTGGTGTGGTTGATCTTTTCAGCTCCTGCCCCAATTTGTCTTTTCCGATGTGTATCTGCCACTCCAAGCCTTTGTCCAGTATTTCCAAAATGTCTCTGTCGAAAAACTGCCTCAGATGGATAGATAGTTTCCCCTAATCTGGACTCTAAACATAACAAAAAAAACTTATACTTATTCCTAACTTCTTGTCCTGTGAGGTGACCCCAGCTAGTGACGTCAGACTCACGCCCGACAAAAGTGGACAGTGTCTATACTTTTCATTTATTTTCAATCTTAACGTGCTATCACTGTCTCTCTCGCCCTCTCCCTGCCTCTCCTTTTGTCTCTCTCTCTATCTCGGTGCACCAACCCCCTTTCCTCTAACCCCTTTGAGTATAGTAGAGAATCTAGATGTGTGCAAAGTTTAACCCTAGCAAACTGCCGCAAAAAGCGTGCAAGCAGAAATAGAAATGAAAAAAAAAATGCACAGACAATGAAGACATTAATGACTTAACAAAGCTTATCAAGCAAAGACAAATGGAAGAATTGAATGACTCCTCAAGACTGAACTTTTCCCGATAATGATGCTAAAAATTGATTAACTCCACAACGATCAGTTCATGAACTTAGATTCTACACATGGATTTTTTTCAAGCCATCAAAAGGCAGAAGCATGTTCGTCAGTTTCCACACGCATAAGAATACCCCGCGCAGTCAGATTCCTCCGTGGATTCATATCTGACATCAACTAACTACGGCTATTTCCAGAATTGATCAATCTAACTGAAATAGATCAAAGAGAAAGATTGTGCACTTTTGAACAACTTGGCCTACATTATAATAATTATTATGTTCAACTTCCATTAAAACAATGGTTCGAAAAATAAGACATTTGATTAAGGTCTGTGATAAAACGGCTGTTGTTGTTGTTGTTGTTGTTGATGTTGTTGTTGTTGTTGTTGTTGTTACTGTTGTAGGTCATGGTTGCGATAGTAGTGGTGGTGGGGATGATGATGATGATGATGATGATGATGATGATGATGATGATGATGGTATAGTACTAATATTTCCGCAGCCGATATTGGCTCCCGTCAATTACAATCCACAGGATGTAAATTTTGCAAAACGAGTGATTCCAACTAATCAAAAACTTGGTAGGACTTGCGCAAATAGTTGAAGAACAAAGTTTCGTCCTTGCACTCCATCAAAGAATATAAAGTTCTGTGAAATTCGCCCCTTGGTACTCTGGGAGAGAAATTGGATACAGATGAACTTGTCCTGCCTTCTTCTTCGTTTTTAAAACATTTTGAAAACTAGATTAAATAACAGTATTGTCAACAGTCCCTCTGCGTCAGGGAAATCCATTTTCGCAGCCTGGCTGGGAGTGAGGGGATGACAGAAACTAGATTTTCATGTGATCGGATAAAGTGAGGTGTGTAACGTTGCGTGTGAGTAGCAAAACGTGACACGTGAAAGTTTACGTTCTATGTGAGGAGGGCCTAACTAGTAACCCCAAACCTTAACATTTACCCTGATCCTGACCCTCTAAATACTAACACTTTAAAACTTAAACGCTTAACCCTATCCGTACTTCATGTTTTATAATCGTATCCATACGATGTGGGGGACTCTGTGCCACTACTTTCCAAAGAAAAAAATTCCTCGTTAATCCGATCCGTACGCTTTGCATAGTAGTCTGTCAAAATGATTTTTTGAGAAATACTGAAAGTTTCAAAGAGATCCTCGCACTAAAAGTATTCTAAAATGTGAAGAATACAACCCCGGAGGTACAAAATGACCCCAGGTCTACAGTTAGGGTTAAACTGTAACACTCCAATGCCTAATCCATAAAACTTTTCACCTAGGCTAACCCCAAGATTAACCATTACCCTTAACTTAAACTTAACCCTAACCCTACCCTAACTTTAACCCTAAACTTAATGCCAACCCCAACCCTAATTGTAACCCTAATCTAACCATAACTCTAAAAAAAAAAAACCCAATAAAATTTAGGGTATTGCTCATACCAATAAAACAACATTTGCTTTAATGACAATAGTAAAGCTTTTATTTTTTTTATAATTTTTAAATTATGGCTTGGGATGTTAGAAAAGAATTTGTTTTCTTGGTAACAATATTCAGGGGAGAATGGGGTGGCCCTGTAAAATAATAAAAACCTATCTTTTAAAAAAGCTGTAACGTATTTCAGCTTAAATGCCGCAGTAAAATTATGCATTAAACATTCTTCACTACCCCCCCCCCTTTCCTCCCATCAATTTAGGTGTTCTTGCCAGTTCGACTTTATGTTTTTGCTGCCAACCTTTTAGGTCTCGCTTTTGCTGTTTTCCTCTTTCTTTAACCAGACCAAGTAACTCACTTTCTTGACAGTCTAAGAATTGTTAGGATACAAACAACCGCCCCCCCCCCCCCCCCAAAAAAAAAACAAAACAACAACAACAACAAAACAAAACATCAGCCAAAAAATAACCAAAACAAGACAACAAATTTTTTTTTTTAACCAGCACACCAAAGACACCATAGATATTTGTCTATTTTATTGTTCTTTTAAAATAAAGACTTTTCATCCTGTCTTGTTTTTGAGAATCGAGCCGTGGTGCAGTTTTCGATGGTTGGCCAACGCTGCAGTTCCTTCCATTGAGACATGAAAATTGTACCGTTTTTTGTTGGGTTGTTGTTGTTGTTTTTTGGGGGGAGGGGTAATTACATTCCTTGTGTGTAAATTACCTTTTAGTTTGTAGCCTGATAACTTGGTATTACAGGCTCTAAATGGTTTTTAATTGGTGACATTTTGAAATAAGAGGCCGAATCATTTCGCTCTTTGCTTTTTCTTTGAAAGAACGGCCAGAAATCCTGCGAACAGTCACATTCCATTTTCATTCCTCTAACGACTTTTCTTGTAATGCTTTTTGAAGTTTGCTGAAACATTTCATCTTGAAATGCAGTTATTTTGCTTTCATGGACTTCACTTAATGCCAAAGTCTGGCACTGGTAGCATCATTTTGGTTTAAATATGGAAGTGAAAGCTGTCTCGTTGAGTCCGTGGGGATGTTTGGACGATACTATAGAGGTGCGAGGTGATAGGTAATGATGTTGGATTATTAAGTTGGTGTTTCTGCTTTATTTATTTTTTTCTAATTGGGAAAGGACATGATAAGCGCTCTGACTGTCATCTGCAACAAGATCTGGCAGACAGGAAAGTGGCAAACACCATGGACACAATCACTAGTGATTACACTCCCCAAGAAAGGTAACCTGCAACTATGTCAGAATTACCGCACCATCAGTCTAATAAGCCACCCCAGTAAGGTAATGTTGAAGATAATGCTGAACAAATTGAAACCACAGGCAGAGACGTTCATTGCTTTAGAGCAGGGCGCAGCACAACAGAACAGATCTTCAACCTCAGAATACTGTGCGAGAGGTACCTCCAACACCAACAAAACCTATACCATATCTTTGTGGATTTTAAAAAGGCCTTCGACAGGGTCTGGCATGCAGCCTTATGGGCAACCATGAGGAAATATCAACGCCAACCTGATCAACGTCATACAACAACTATACGACAAGGCCTCCAGCGCAGTCTACCTTAACGGCAGCATGGGGGATTGGTTCAGGACAACGGTCGGGGTGAGGCAAGGCTGTTTACTCTCTCCCACTCTCTTCAACATCTTCCTAGAACGAATCATGACAGACACTCTGGAAGACCACAATGGAACAATCAGTATTGGAGGCAGGACAATCACTGACTTGCGTTTTGCCGATGACATCGATGGATTAGCAGGAGAAGAACAGGAGCTCGCCACACTAGTGGAGCGGCTGGAACAACCTCAGCAGCCTACGGCATGGAGATCAGTGCCGAGAAAACCAAGCTAATGACCAATAACACCAATGGCATCAATGCAGACATCAAAGTCAGGGGCGAGAAACTTGAGACCTTCAACAGTATTAAATATCCGGATCTATCGCCTCAGATGAAGGCTCAAGACCGGAAATTCTCTCCATGATCGCGCAAACAACAGCTGCGCTGTCAAAACTGAAGCCTATTTGCAGGGGCAGAAACATCATGCACAGCTCAAGAATTAGACTAATGCACTCACTGGTCATCTCAATATTCTTATACGCCTGCGAGTCATGGACACTAACAGCAGAATTAGAGAAAAAGTGTCAGACCACAGAGATGAGATGTTACCGCAGATTCCTTGAAATCTCGTACAAAGACCACGTTTCAAAACGCGGAAGTACGAAAGAGAATTACCAACGCAGTGGGGCAATATGAAGATCAACTGACCACAGCGAAGAGACGAAAACTAAAATAGTATGGGCATGTCACAAGATCCACAGGACTTGCTAAAACAATCCTGGAAGAAACCGTACAAGGAAAGAGAAAGAGAGGAAGGCAGAGATGGAGATGGGAGGATAACATTATAGAGTGGACAGGAAAGACGATGGGTGACAATCTGAGGAGAGCAGAGGACAAAAATAGATGGCGAGAGCTGGTTTTCCAATGCAGTGGTGCCCCAACGGTTGCCCCAACAACGGGATAGAAGAAGAAGAAGAAGAAGAAAAAGAAGAAGAAGAAGAAGAAGAAGAAGAAGAAGAAGAAGAAGAAGAAG